GGCAAATCATTTCGCAATGGTCTGTTTCAAACGGAGAACAAGAGTCGATGCAGAAGAATCAGACGAGCTGTGGCCGACGGAACCGGTGGACGACACAGTGGACGCCATCTTCGCAATCGGGGCTGAGAGACACCGAATGATATTCATGAAGGCGGCGGTTCGAGAAAACGATAATCGAGTCATCAGCTCCCAGATAGACAGTGGAGCCAGCTGCAACGAGCCCTAATCCCGAAAGCGCGCCTGGACACTCCAGGAAAACCCAGGCTGACGGTGTATAACAGACGAGTGATCCAGTCGCTTGGCAAGGCCCAGATCGAAATTACACAAACGAAGACAGAGAGAAAGCATACAATCGAGGTGGTGGTAGAGAAGGACCTCCAGCCGATCATTGGTCGATACACGGCAGAGAAGCTCAGAATCTTAAAAGTGGACTATGAGCAGGTCGACGGTGTGACGGCGGAGGCGGAAGATCGCGAAACGGAAATGACAAGCCGAGACCCAGTGATGCGACGATTCCCCAGTGTTTTCAATGGCGGTCTGGGGGAAGTTCCCGGGGAAGTCAAACTGACGCTGAAGCCCCTGACTGCTCCGTCATGTAACGTCTCCGCGTACCGCCGCATCTCAAGTCGAAACTGAAGCAGAAGCTGGAGGAACTTTGTCGGCGCGGCGTTGTGGAAAGAGTGGACTGGCCAACCCAGTGGGTAAACCGATTGTCGCTTTTCGATTTTTTTTTGTCGATTTGTGAGAACCGCAGGGAATTCTAGAAGAAGGACCTCGTAAGGATGCTGACGACGTGGTATGGTATGGTATGGTATGGTATGGTATGGTATGGTATGGTATGGTATGGTATGGTATGGTATGGTATGGTATGGTATGGTATGGTATGGTATGGTATGGTATGGTATGGTATGGTATGGTATGGTATGGTATGGTATGGTATGGTATGGTATGGTATGGTATGGTATGGTACGGTACGGTAGTGATCCTCGCCCTCGTGTAGCCAAAAGCTAGATCAACGGGCGACCCTAGTCCAGGGGCGAGTACTCTCTAGCGCAGGGGTTCCCAACCTTTTCTTCTCTCGGGACCCCCTCCGAATCATGAGACCGACTTCGGGACCCCGTGCGATGAAGTGTCGAAAGTTATACGACAAAATACGTATTGGTATGCTTTACGGTTCTCCGCCGTATGTCACGATTAGCATTTATTCGAATTTGAGTTACGATCATGTATAAATGCGGATGTCAATGACTTTTCTGCTGCTGTTTCGAATCCACAATCTTGGTGATTCGAGCCTCCGTATTGCTCAAGGCTATCCGTTAGTCCGCATCCGCGTTCAAACGCGACCTGTTCTTGGTTTCGATCGTCAACAAGGTACTGAACCCGGACTCACAGAGATATGCTGTCGCAAATGGGATCAGAACTCGGAGAGCTTTCTCGGCTAGCCGAGGATAGCCCGCTCTGATCGAGATCCAAAATTCCTCCAAGCTCTTGATATTTATCTCCATTGCCAAGGCCCGATCCACGCGAAGTTCGATCAGCTCGTCTTCCAACGTTTCGTCCATATGCCTTTTCAAATCGCTCAGTTTTGGAGGCTTGACTGACCCAGAAAACAAATCTCGCGGCATGACTGGCAAGGTCTTCTCCAAGAACTCCGATAATACTTCCGAGAATACTTCCCTATGTAAAACCTCATAGGATAATCATCCGACGTTTCCGGGACCCCCTGCTCTAGCGGATCCTTCGGGCCTCGTTTTCCCATTCTTCGAGCGTTCTCTTCGTCTCCTCACATGTCCCATCGTCACCCTTCCCCTCCAAGCCCAGCATTCTGGGGAGCTCATTCGTCTCAGAGTGATATGGTTCACATTTCATGATGATGTGAGGGATTGTTTCTACCTCTCTCCCGCATTTCGTACACAGTGGGTCGAGTGGTTCGTATTTCGTTCGATGTGCTCTGGTCGGTAGCATTCCCGCTCTGGCCAGTGCTAATAATGTACTCCCTCGACTATTCGTATATAGCCCGCGTACCGTTACGCCCCTTACTTTCCATTGTCTATATAGGGTGAGACTTGATTGCGAGCTCATTGACTCCGACCATTGCTCACTTACGAGGGAAATGCCAAAGTCACTGGAACGAGTTCGCAACCAATTTTTCAGGGGGTCACCGGTGAGGGCTCAGAAACCCGAAACCGGTTTCGAAAGATGCGAAATACTTGCCGGGGAAAAAATCGTCAACCTCCGGATCCCATTCCCCCTGAGACCACCCGGCCGTAACAGTGGTGGTGGCACCGCGGGCAGCGCGGCGTCGTTGCTTACCGATGCGACGGCGTGAGCCCGGGTTCGCCTCCGGATCCGGCAAATTATATTTTCATGATTTTTTGTTACTTTGGCTATTTCCTTCTCTAATCAAGGGTAGTTGTGAACCACGAAGAGCGTAAACCGATGATCCACCGATATTTTTGGGTATCTGACGCGCCTGAAACGTGCTGCCAGTGATAGCGGGAATGATGCGCGACGGAGCGGCTGCCGATCTCCCCTGACGGGGAAAAGCATGCGTTCAGCGGGGGACTTCCAAATAGCAGAGTGGAAGTCCTTCAGCGGTGACCCCACGATGGGCAATCGTGCCCGAGAGTCTCTTGGCTTCCGTGCGAAATGTGCTGGATCTCGAATCTCGAGCAAGGGATTCTTGGAAACTCCTCGTGATGGACAGTCAAAAGCAGTTATGAGCAATAAGCAACAAAGCATCAGATGATGATTACAAGTTTTTTTATTCCGAATGAAGGCAAGAACAAATCAGTGGAGATGCTTGGCGACGATGAAGTGGTGGAAGCATAAGTATTGTAGG